GGGTGGGAAAGCTGCCCGCTCCCCCTCCCCCGGCTCTGCATTTCCTCCGCACTCCCCCGGCTGTAGCCCGGCCCTGCGCCCTGCCCTCCTGCCACCCCCCTAGCAAGCTGCTGCCCCTCTCCCTGAACCCCTCTACTGCTTCTTCCCTCCACCCTCCCTGCTCTCTTGACCGTCCTCCCCCTCGCTCCCTCCCTGTTCCTACCCAGGCCGCAGAGTACCCGGTTCGCCCTCAGTGTAGACCCTTGGAAAAGTCGGACTCGGGCCCTGCCCTCAGGGACCACCTCCCATCCCCACAGGTCAGACTGTGCCCCAGGAGGTGCAGAGAGCCTGGGGAGGGGGCTGGGACGGGGGAGTCTGCTCGGCGGGGGGTCAGTCAGAGGTGGGGAGCAGAGTCTAATATGAGGGGGGTGGGGGGTGTATACAGCAGGGTAGTATTGCCCGGTAGTTAGGAACACAGCCCTACCCCTAGGGCCAGGCTGCCCTGGCTCCGGTCCCACTTCCAACACTACCTAGCTGTGTAACAGTGGACAAGTGGCTTCTGTGCCTCAGTTTCCTCATCGGGAAAATGGGGATAATACCACTAGCACCTACCTCATAGGGTTGTCCTGAGAATGAAATGAGTCCATCTTTGTATAGAGTTTGGGCGAGGGCCCCATCCAGAGCAAATACCATTGAAAAGTTCATTGTCATGGTCATTCTAACTAGGCCAGAAACTGCTCAAGCCCACCCACCCCACCCCCACCCCTGTGATCCTGTGATTCAGGGGGACCATTGAGGGAGTGGGTTAGGGGATGGATTCTTAGGTAAGGGGGTCAGCTCACACCCATCCAGGTTTCACTCTCTGGTGTTCAAAGCAGTCGAAAGGGAGGCGTTAGCCCTCTGGGAGGGATCCTCTCACTGCTCGAGGGTTTGTAAAGAGCCTGATGGAGGTTACAGACCCCAGAGGTGTCCTCTCTCCTTCATGAGTAATAAATCTAGTCCCTTGGGCAGTAGAGGCTGGTGAGGGTGTCCTCCCCCCCACCTTTTCCAGGAGGCATTAAACATCCTGAGGGTGTTCTCTCCCAGGGGGGGTCTTAACTACAGTCCTCAGCTATTGCAGCCTCCCTGGGGATATTAACTACAGCTTAATGGTCCCCCTCCTGTGAGAGGCTTCCTTCAGTCAAGTAGGTGTTGGCTGCTACTGCTAATGAGTGGATACACAGCCTCGGTGGGTGGTGGTCCCCCCTCCTCAGGAAACGCTGTGCGGCGCCGACGCTCACTTTTATTGAGCGCCTTTTGTGTGTACAGGGCATGGCACACTCTGACCTCCACCTTCTCACGACTCCTCCCAACCACCTCGGGCTCAGAGAGGGAACGTAGATGGCCCAAAAATGCACAGCCCCAAAGGTGTTACAGAAATCAAGGAGGTGTCTTCTTGGGGGGTGTTATTCTGAGCAGTCATACTGGTGTTTGTCACATGTCCACTGGCCTGCTGTCTAGTCTACCAGGTCCTGGCCACCAAAGGCATCAGAGCTCTCCCTGGGGGCTTCTATACCTCCACTGGGCATTGTAAGCCTGTCCGCCCCTCACAGGTGTTGCCTATAGTCTAACAAGTATACTGACACTCTGGAAAGGCTCCATCTCTCCCAGAGGTGGGGCTTGGAAATAAAGAGGGGGGAGCTCTCTTTGCTGATGCTCTTGGCTGTCTTATGGGCGTCACTAACATTCCGAAGATGTTCTATTTTCCGGAAGGGTGTTGTGTACAGTGTAATAAGTGGTATCTTCCCAGAGGGTGTGCTGTGTCACCGAAGGCTGTTACACGCAGTNATTCCGAAGATGTTCTATTCTCCGGAAGGGTGTTGTGTACAGTGTAATAAGCGGTATCTTCCCAGAGGGTGTGCTGTGTCACCGAAGGCTGTTACACGCAGTACTCCAGGTTCTTTCTGCTCAGGTGTTTTCTCTCTTTGCAGATGTCCTCTTGCGCATTTAATGACCATCAAATACATTCCAGTTGGTTGGTGTTCTAGCTCTCCGGATGGGTATCGTAGCCACCTGGAGGGTGTTTTCTCTCTCCCAAAGGGTGCTGTGTGCAGGTGAGGAGTCCTACTCGGCAGAGGGTGTCCCAGAAGCCCCTCCTTGGCATTCAGAGCCACGAACTGTGAAGGTGCTGGAAGAATGTTCTCCGCAGGCTGGTGGGTGTCACAGACTCCCAAGGGGCATAAATGTCAGAGACTGTCCCGCTGGTGAGCTACCTTTAAGGATGCTGTGTGCAGTCAGGGTTGCTGTAGATACCAGAGGATTGTGGCTCTCCTGAGGGGTCTCAGGTACCACCTAATGAAGGGGCAGAGACACCCAGTGCAGGGACTTCTTGCTGGGTCCTTGAAAGAGTGTACCATGTGGAGCTCAGTGAGGGAGCTCTCGGTTTCTGGCGAAAGTTTAGTAGTTTTAATGTGGTTAAGTTGAAATAGTAAATGCTCAGAGTGAGTGTGTGTTTATTTGGTGCTTGGAAAATGCCAAGTGCACTCCCTTGTCCTGCTCTTTAACCCTCCCAGCAACTTTAGGAAGTAGTCATCATTGTTGCTCCATTTTACAGATGAAGAAACTAAGGCTGGGGATGCTCAGTGATTTGCCCAAGTGAGGGGGGAGCGGTGGTAGAGCTGGAGCCTGTCCGAAGTCTGCTCATGCCCTCAGCTCCTGGCAGAGCTGTCCTGACCCTGGCATACCCGCTCAGGGACTGTGGTCCTGCCCCAGACTCTTTCCCCTCCTGAGGCAGGTGATGCTAGGGGTGGCCCCAGAAAATGTGGCTTTGGGACTTGGTGGAGGGCAGCCTGACCTGGGAATGGGAGAGGGAAGTGAGGAGGGGGGAGAGGGAGAAGAGGTAAAGGGAAGGTGCCAGGGAGGGGGTAGGAGTGTGAATGTGAGGATGTGGGTTAGTCTGGGCCAGGGAGTCAGAGTGGAGCTGAAGTCCAGGGCTAGGGGCTGCTGATCTCAGGGCCGGAGGCCAGGGGACATTGCTGGTGATTTCAGTGGGAGCAGATGTGCGAGGCCCTGCCCTGTCACTGCACCTGTGCCCTGTGGTCCTGCGACTGTGTGGGCGTTGGAAGGGGTGTGTCAGTGTGTCTGTCTACGCCGGGGCTCATGAGTCAGTGAGGGTTTTGTGTGTCAAGGGATGGAGTGTAGCTGTACGTCACCATGGGTCTTGTGTGTCCAGTGTCCAGTTTGTGGGTCAGGATGGGTCAGTGTGTGCGGGCTTTCTGTCCACGGCTTTGTGTACATGCTTCTCCGTGTGTGTTCCTGAGTAGGGTGGTGTCCATGTGCGCACTAGGCTGTCCTGTGTGAGTGTGTTTGCACTGTATGTGTTACCGTACCCGTGTGTCCTTATGTCCACGTGTCTGCTACCCAGGCTGTGTGTGCACGTGTGTGCCCGGTGTCCGGGTTCGGTTTTGCGTGTCCAGCAGGGGTTCTGGCCTCCACTTCACGCCGGGCCCGTGTGTCCAAGGGCGTCCGCCTCGGGAGCGAGGGGAGGGGAGGGGCGCTGCAGGAAGGGGAGCGGGGTCTCTCCACCTCTCCCCCACCCCCGCCCC